TGTTGCTGTTGTTGTTGCTGTTGTTGCTGTTGTTGTTGCTGTTGTTGTTGTTGTTGTTGTTGTTGTTGTTGTTGTTGTTGTTGTTGTTGTTGTTGTTGTTGTTGTTGTTGTTGTTGTAAGATTGAAAACTTCAGAGCCATACAGTTAATTTATTTATATTTTGATTAAACAGAATTCATGAACTCAACCCCTTCAGCAGGTTAGATGATTACTACCGCCTCGGGATCTGTGGAGCTTTTATTTTGAAGTCTCGGGTGTCTTTGCGGCGTCTCACCGCCGGCGTCGTGCTTCTTCTTCTTCTTCTTCTTCTTCCTCAGGTCGACGGTTCGAGACGCCGAAGACAAACATGGCGCTGTTCTTCTCCGGAGCCGTCACAAGTACGTCCCCAGAAACCCGCTCTGAGCTGGACCAGAACCGCTCCTGGTCCGCTGACGCTTCACGAGCTTTAATCACGATCGATGTTTTAAAATAAAACGCGTTTAATGACGACATCAGAACTTTGAACAGAACTTAGTTCTGGTTGAACAGTCGGGTCAGAACTCTGTCTCTACGTGCTGATCTATCTGCTGCAGGTAAGATGTTGTTTCCCCGCAGCCTTTCCACAGAACGTCACCTTAAAAGAGCTGAACTGTCACTTTAATATTTAAAACAGACGAGACTTTGATCCCAGAACTCCAGGTCCAATCAGAACCGAAGGACCGCCGAATACCTCAGCTGGGATCTATGTTCCTCCAACGTTCTAGTTTTTACGACCCGGTTCTGATTCGACTCGTTTATCGTCCCGGGACCGACTCTGGGTCAGCAGAACTCTGAATCTGTTCCCGGGACCGGCTTTGGTCCAGCAGAACTCTGAATCTGTTCCCGGGACCAGCTTTGGTCCAGCAGAACTCTGAATCTGTTCCCGGGACCGGCTCTGGGTCAGCAGAACTCTGAATCTGTTCCCAGGACCGGCTTCGGTCCAGCAGAACTCTGACTCTGTCCTTGTGGTTCAGGCTCTCCGGTCAGACGGCGGCTGCGTGCGGCTCCTTCCTGTCCGAGGTGAGAATCAGAAGTTTTGTTTGTTTTTACAGATAAAATGTTTTTGTTTGTTTTTACAGAT